ATGTATTTATATCTAAATATATGGCTCTGGTGATGATAAAATAGAGGAGCCGACAAGCATATAGGATATAATTACAGTGCTGTGAGCTGGTGAGTTACGTGTGATGACATTCATTGTATATCATGCCTGATATACTGTGTCTGTGTCCGGCCCTATATAGTGCACTACTTTTGACCCTGGCCCAAAGGTATGTATCTCCCGCTGAGTATTTGCTATTAAAACAATTCAAGTTAAAGGTAGAGCCAGGGGTCTTTTGAACACTGTGACTGCTTTGACTCACACAAGGAAGCTGCTGAGGTTTCATTTTTCAGATTATTGATTTATTGACATAGATTTTCTTTTTTTCACCATTAGTTTCTCTCGACAGACACCAATAGCATTTTCATAAAGTATATTTTTCATTTAAAATTACATTTATAATATTTAACTCACATACGTATTTTATTGGTTCATTTTTTATTATTGCAATAAACAAGAGTAACCAGTATGAGTTGGGTATTGCTACAATTCGACATACAAACTCTTTAGTTGTCCCCTCTGACAATGAAATTCAAAAAAATAACTTTATTGGCAAGACAAGGTTTCACCAAAGTGTCTCCATCTTTATTATTCTCTGGATGTTTTCCAAATGGCACCCTATTCCCTATAAAGTGCACTACTTCTGACCAGTGCAGTACATAGGGAATAGGGTGCCATTTGGGCTGCATACTCTGCCTCTGGAGATAATAAGGGTGGAATAAGGCTAAGGCTAATAGCCTACACACAGCTACCAGGACACCTGCTCAGAAAATAGGTCTTATGAATAGATTTAACATTTAATGTTCAACAGTTTGAATAATAAATGAGGATGTATGTACCATTTGAGGTGACTACGATATTAACATATATGTGAATTTCTACTTCATGGATCTAACAGTGACAGAATCAAACACTTTGAATTGATCGGATGGGTTGTTGTTGTTAATAATGTTTGTTTCTTGATATAAGGTTGACAAAGCATCAATCTCTGATGTCTGTGCCTGCGTGGGCAGGTTGAAGTTTGTCTCCTCTATTGCGGTAGGCCACCCTGCCTGGGTTAAGGTTTGTCTCCTGTTTCGTGATAGGCCACTTCTGTTCCAGCCATTGCTTCTCTGGTCTTTGATTGGTGGGGAGTGGGGAGAGCAGGTCTCAACACACAACATTACACAGGGTGCATCTGAAATGGCACCCTATTCCCTATATAGTACATTACTTTTGACCAGAGCCCTATGGGCTTAGTGCACTTCATAGGGAATAGGGCACCATTTTGGATGCAGACATAATGATACACACCAACAGGAACAAGAGCACTACTCCAAGTACACGTTTTAACTTCACTACAAATGAAATCATCTCCACCAAGTCAAGATCAAGTTTAAGATCAGGATTAAGATCAAGTTAACCAAAAGAGCACAGTGGTGGATAAACTGACTCAGTCAGCTCTTACATAATGGCATTGATATAATCATATATTCTGTCATATCAGGATTTATTACTCAATACTCAACCTTTTTTCTCACACACGAAAATGAAACACAATGCAACAAAAACACAAAAAGTCAAAACTTGAATGCCAGTTCGCTACCTGGCGTGTACGTACCGTTCCCAAAGCAGAGATTGGCTGCATTCCAATGATCTTTCTTTCACCCAGAAGGGTACACTTGTTCACTCCCCCTTATTTAAAAGCATTGGATTGCAGCAAGCATGATTTCCACCATATTCCTTACACCAGTCAATTTTATATCCATGAGGGTGAGTGTAGGATTGCACACTTCGGGAGAAGGTTAGAGAATCGGACCACAGTCATTATTACCATTGGATTAGACCACTTTAATATTAACGGCCCTTCCCTAAGCCGCTTCTTCATTGTCCCTCTCCCGGCCCTATCCCAAATCGACCTCTAGACCCTTCAACCTATGCACTTGTGGAAATCTTAGATGATTAGATACGCAATATGGTAGTAGCACAATCTGTCCGACTGATTGACTAGATGGCATTTTTGTGTCCAATCCGCTGAGATCTCTGCAAGTGCATAGGGTCTAGTGGTCCATTTAGTATTGGGCTTCTCTACTGTACCCTCTGAAGGCCACCTCCTCTGTGGACGAACATTAAAGGCCTATTATCAGGCACATTTCCCATTTATAGGACCAGGAGTTTTACCCTGACTATGTGACTTGACCATGTGACCTGACCAGGACAAAATGCATTTAAGCACATCTAGGACCCAGAGTTCACTGTACATTACCCTGTAGTGTACAACACATTGTTTACGCTAAACAACAACAAGTTAACTATCCGAGCAAATTCCGAAGAAAGGTAAGACATTAGAACACATTGCTTCTCAATGGAAGGGCAGTGTACATCTCCGTTAGGGTCGTGTTCATTAGGGCACACCTTAGCAAAACTTTTTGCAACAGAAAACGAATGCAGGTGTTTCTTATTGGACAAGTTCAGGTAGTACCACCCTGTTCAGCTCTGTTTCGGATCGTTTTCCTCCATTTTGTGCCCATCGAACACGGCCCAGTACTATAGTGTTATAGTAGTGTTAAGCAGGGCAGGTATCTCTTTGTCTAATTCTCAGTCCAGTTAGCCTATTGTAGGTGGGCAGCACAGTCTCAGTTTCTGCACCCGGTATGTTACCTCCTCCTAAATATTTCATCCTTCTCTCTTCCACCCGTCGCCAACCATTCCCTCCTAAATGGATTTTTCATTTTCTATTTGATTTTATCTGCACTAGTACATTATTTTATAATTGTGTAGGTAACTATGAAAATGAATCAACCAACCCAAAATACAAACAAACGTAACATTATTGATCAGTCATGGTAAAATAATACAAATAGCATTGCATGGCTTTCTGTTTTAAGGCGTGGATGTCAAATATAAAGAGGGCTGGGCAGGGTTTCCCAGGCCTGTCCTAAATACACTATGTGTGACCTTGCTGTGCTAGGACTCCGGGGTGGTTGTCACTTCAGTTCAGTGCCATCTCTCTCTCCCTCCTCTCTCTCTATCTCGCTCTGCCGCTCTCGCTCTTCTTCTGTCTCGGGGGATCTGATAGAGATCGTTTGTGAGTTCACGTCCCGTTGTTGCCCTTATGTAGCCTTAAACCAACCCTACGGGTGGAAGTGGAGGAGGAGAGGGGGGTCGATCCAGTGATGCGTAAGAGTAGACCCTGACCCTCCCGAACCCCAGTACTACAGGCCCCACTCAGAGAGAAGGACAGAAGAGAGAGATACAGGGAGATAGTCTACACAGAGATACTGTACACTGGTCATACCATCAACACCGTATGGAGCTCATATGAGTGTGGGGGGTTGCATAGGTGGATGAAATCTGGAATCCTGTGCTTTATCGTAGATACACAAATAATTCTCTCCACACACTCTCAGGGACACACACAAACACACAAAAGAACAGACTCTCATGTGGGTGTATTTTGAGGACTAAGACTCACATTGCAGTCTCAATGAGTAGTTTATGCTACAATACCAGTTGGCATATATGGCAAGGTAACAGGTACATGTTACTTTGTTACTGTGTTAAAGGGGCAGTATGAACCAATGCATGCCTCTTCTGCTCTAGCGCCTCTCTCTGTTCTCTCGCTCCTCTATCCTGTGGAGAGGTCTAGCTGTGATCGTTATAGCGGTTGACACATTTCCCCCTGCAGCCATATTTGTTGTTACAATCTATTTTCAAACACCAGCGTGTCTCAGCCTCCTCCACAGTGCCCTGGGGTCTAGATCTCCAGTGACCCACGCTGGTCCTCCTCTCACCTAGCCCTGCCACAAGTACCCTACAGTCCTGTTCCCTTCTCCTCTCTTACCCCACTCTCCTTTCTCTCCCCCACAATCACCCTACACTCTTAGAACAAAGGGTTCCAAAGGGGTTCTTCGGCTGTACCCATAGGATAAAAAATGTTTGATTCCATAGGAACTCTTTTGGGTTCCATGTAGAACCCTCTGTGAAAAGGGTTCTACATGGAACCCAAAAGGCTTCTACCTGGAACCAAAAAGGGTTATTCAAAGAGTTCTTCTACGGGGACAGCCAAAGAACCCTTTTAGGTTCTAGATAGCACCTTTTTTCAGAATCACCTTACAGTCCTGTTCTCTTCTCCTTTGCCCCACCCCTACGCTTCACACGTCAAGATGCGACCATCACAATCCTGTTGTCACCCCACAGTAATAATCTATCAAGGACCTATAGGTCCACCAATTGGAAGAGAACCTAAGGGTCACCCACAATGAGGAACAAGGTTGCCTGTTTCGTTTGTGCCCACGAGAGCGGGAAGAGGAATTGACAGTATCGGGGAGTATTGCTATACTTAAACACGGCTAAACACGTTTATATTAGCGAAGAAGAAGACCACTGAAAAGCAGCTAGCCTACTGTCCTTACATACTATAGGAACATTATTCTCTTTGTTTGGAGGTGCATAGGAGGTGGAGGTGAGTAGTACAGTAAGTACTCGTTAGACCAGAATGATGAGGAAACCATACACGAAGTGTGGCCCAGCACATACTGCACTGGAACAGTTAGCTGCAGTGGAGGGGTGTTTATATGTGTGTGTGTGTGTGTGTGATCAGTCTCATCAGTTTGTTCTGTAGCTATATGCAGTGATGGATCTCACAGTGTGTGGGGGAGAGGGAGGTGAGGAGGTGAGAGATGAACAGTCCATCCAATGCATATTGTGTATCGCTCCTCCTATTGCTCTCTGTCTCTCTCCATCGGTCTATCACTCACAGTCACAAGTCTATGAGATGGAGGGAGAGTTTCAGGTCAGGGAAAAAGGAAAAATCATCTCCTTCTTTCAGGCGCCCTCTTCCCTTTCTTTTCTTCTCCTCTAGATGTTTTTACGTTTGATTTGTTTACCGATTATTTGTTTGTTTACCCTATCAATTGCTGTTTGTTGTTTATGTTGATTATTTCTTCACAGTGTGCTTTTGGAGTGGCTGCTCCTGACTGGCCGAGGTTGAGGGGGTGGAGTCAGTAAGGAGAGAAGAGGATTGGCCCGTGGGAGGTGCGCATGGGACCGGGGGCGGGTCTTAGGATGGCGTGGCTGAGAGGTGGGCCCTGTAATAGGTGGTGGTGGTGGTGATGCGGGTGGTGGTGGACGGAAGACGCTGCGGCACGAAGCTGAGCCAATTGGTGGTTCGAGGAAGCGGCGGCGGCCATCGCCGCAGCAACCGCCAGGGGACTGGGCAAGAGCCCAGCCCCCAAACATTTGGAGAGATCCTTAGAGAAGGTCAGAGAGGACTGAGGGGAGAGAGAGGCAGAGAGTGAGGGAGAAAGAGAGGGAGGGCGAGACGGATGAAAGTTTAGTGGCAGAAGGTGAACACATGTAAAGGGATTCAGGGGAACAATATAGAAATACCATTTCAGTTTGGACCTCTTTGATCTCATAACATAGAGGTTTCTAATCAAACTTTCCAGCAAGCTACAAAATGGAGCTTCAGCACTTTGGTAAGGAATTTACTCAGAGGAGGCTCGTGGGAGGAGCTGTAGGAGGATGGGCTCCATGTAGGGTTGTTTCCATGTGTTTATTTGTTTGGTACCATTCCATTGATTCCATTCCAGCCATTACAATAAGCCCGTCCTCCTATAACTCCTCCCACCAGCCTCCTCTGAATCTACTTTACCATTAAGTACTGACTACTCAGAAGACAGCCAAACCTCCTCTCGTTAATTAACTTTGAGCGTGTTTGAGATAGACAACATTGCAGTTTGAACTACACAGAATCACTGATCTACCAATTCCCCTTGCATCCCAAATTACTACCCAGCCTTGCTCAGGCTGATCCACTTAAACTCGCTAATTGTTAATCTGATCTATCCCTCGCACGATAGTGGTCGTAGAGGTGAAAAGTTACCGTGAGGTCAGCTCCCCTGTGCTTCTTGTGTCGGCTGAGGAGTGGATTGGGTTTCCCTGCCACTCCGTCCCGGTGCCTTCGACTAGATATGTGCTGCAGGGAGAGCAAGAGAGAGAGAGAGAGAGAGAGAGAGAGAGAGAGGAGAGATAGAGAGAGAGAGAGAGAGAGAGAGAGAGAGAGAGAGAGAGAGAAGAGAGAGAGAAGAGAGATCGAGAGAGAGTAGCTAGAGAGAGGGATACTATCGATGTATGAGATCGAGCGAGAGATCGAGAGGGATTAGGATGAGAGAGAGATTAGGAGAGAGAGAGAGACAGACATACAGGGAGCAGTGTTTGACAGCAGCCAGACAGACAGGTAGAGTTGAACTCTGACCTTTGGAGTTCTCTAACAGCCGGTCCCAATCTACTCCCTACCCCTACCCCTACCCCTTCCCCTAGGCCCTAACCCTTCAACATATGCAGATCTGAAGGGTCTGAATAGGTATAATCAGGGTAATGGTGGAGCTTACAAGGAAGGGGTTAGCAAATTTGAACTGGCTCCGGACTAGGGAGCCTAACTGCAATATATAGGGTAAAAATAATAGGTTAACAAAACCAGTAGTTTCTAGTTAAGAGATTAAGAGAAAATAAAGGGAAGATGTGCATCTGAAAATAAAAGATACAGTATGATGTCCCCCTTTCTTTCCATCTCTCTCACCTGTTTGAGCTGCAGTTCGGAGTTGACCCGCACGTTGCAGATCTCACAGTGGAAGGTGCGTTCCTGAGTGTTGGGGTCCAGCGGCCCCCCTCCCAGCTCCCCCGGGAGTTTGGGGCCCAGCCGAGGGTACGCCTTAATGGGACCCAGCCCACTGCGAGCCTCCAGGATAGTTTTGTGTTTGGTACCTACACACACACACACAAGTTTTCTTTAATTTACTTAAAGAAAATGGTGTCTAACGATCCCGTAAGGGATTGGTCAAGACACAAAAATAAAAATGCATTCAATCATTCACACACACACAAACCATCAGTCTTTAGTCCAGGATGACATCCCCCCAACACTAACATGTACACTATGCTGAACTGTTATATGGCTCATGCTAACCCCATCTCAATTGCCAGAGCTCATCACCTAAGTATATCTGGAATCCTTTCCCTCATACCACAGAACAGCATGTGGTGAAGGAGAATATGACAGTGACAAATATCAGGATATGAGAGAGCTAGCCTAATGGACTCTCTGGAATGTATCATCATCATGTCTATCGCAGCACGTACGGTTAGTGGAATGGGACTGGGAGAGGGAGGTGTAGTGTGATATATTCACCACTAGAGGGCCACAGTGATAAGGTAATGCTATCGTCTTACATTAGTGTTAGTTATGGAAGCAACATAACATTGTGTTTTTCAGGATCTCTGCATTGTTAGCGTTGACATTGGCACCGAACTGAAACACATCTGTAGATCTCTCTGTTCTCTTACGGTAGCTAATTCAATGTTCTGGGTTAGTGTTAGCTTTACTGAGAGGTCATATGGATGGTAGTAATAATGTCTTACAGGGGTCAACTGTCTGGAACAACATCTATAAATTGAAGTCAACTCGTCCGTAGCCAGGTCAACTGGTTTTGGTCATGAAAGAATGGAAGAGCATAGTGCAGTATGTTCTGTGAGCTGCCTCTCATGAGCAGAAATACGAGTGTTCACATTTTTTGAATGGTTTGGATTACACAGACAGACAGCACTGATGACTTTATGCCAAAATAGTTCCTATAATTAATTGCATGTTTTGTTCTTGGCTGAAAAATTCCAGTCATGTCCTACCCTCTGCCGCCCCTGCCTCCACTCCTTCCTCCCCCGGCGTCCTCCCCGCTCCTCCCCCAGTCCCAAACCCCCAAGCAGTCTGGTTGCACTCTGTCTGACTGAGAGGTTTACATGCGTCCCAAATGGCACCCTATTCCCTATGGGCCCTGGTCAAAAGTAGAGCACCATATAGGGGAAAGGGTGCCATTTGGGGCGCAATCTTTGACTTGTTCTATCAAATCCTTGAGCTTTGAGAAGTGAGTTAGAGGTTACAGCAGGAGAACATGGGGAGTGGGGGAGGAGGGGGGAGGAGGGGGAGGAAGAAGGAGGAGGAGGGAGGTCTGGAATGACTGATTTAACTTGTGGCCAAAAATGTGCACTTTTGTTGCTGCCTTTGTTCTATTCTGGGCCGACAATGGATGAACCCCTTCAGGGTGTTTTTCACTTGTGCTCTGCGAGTCGAGCTTGACTTACATTTACAATTAACTAAAACACTACACAAACAGACAGGAGAAGTTTCTAAACATGAAAATAGACAAAACACAGAAAGGAAACCGTTGTATAAACTTATGATTACGGTTGAATACACACCCATCCATAACCTTGATCGCTCCCTTTCTTTATGTAATGTTCATAGCACTGCTAGTCACACTGTCTGTCTCTCTGTCTGTCTCTCTGTCTGTGTAACATGTGCTTTCATTTTTGACTCTGTAATGTTTCAGAGTATTATTTAGGGAAAGAGAGATATTGCTTCCAGATTGTGAGTTAATTTGGGCTGTTACTCTGCCCAGATTGAACTGCAGGCACTGTCGATATCACACACGTCTGAGTGTCTTTGTTTATCTCTGTTTGTTTTATATCTGTCTGTGTGGCGTAAATTATCTTTGTGGGAGTTTGCATATACATATTTAATTAGTGCTTTTGTGCACATGTATACTGTAAGAAGAGAAGAGACGGAGTTTACACAATCAACTAACAATCTTATTTTATCCCTTAATCTCCTGCCCCTAGGGCTCAATCAAACATCTATTACAAAAAGCTTTCCAGAGGTTACTCTAATGATGTCAGTGATTCTTTTTCCATTGGTGGACACATAATCTACATTAAGCTTTTCATTGATGTGTATTATCATGTCTGGCTGGCTGGTAGTCCAAGGCTATTCCCATTCTCCTAACAACAACACTGTCTTACTGCTGTGGCGTGGTAATGGTGATGTGTAGGGACTGGTGTGTGTGTGACATGAATCAGAACACAGAGGGAGTGAGGTTAAGTTAACAGCTTCCCCAATTAAAAACAAAGCCACTGAGACTGAGTGGAAGGTTGAGGCCAAATGGAGTTGACAAAAACAAATACTATTTGAACCCAGGTCTGGCCTCATAACAGCTTTGTGGTTTTACAGGCTTAAAGAAACTCCTCCAGTGGTGAAGCATTAAGAGGGCCTCCTCTACCAGCATTAACGGGACTTTCTCCACTTCCTATTCAGGCTGAATGCCTGGAGCAACAGATACCAGCTTTCTGCTGCATCTACTTACACTATCACAAGATAAATCATGAACGTTTGAGTGGGAGACTCAATAACTTTATATAATTATTATCAAGGCGTGTTTGTACTGTAACTGGACTGGCTGGGAGATAGAGGACGTGTAGAAACAGGAAGGAAGAGAGGAGAAATACACTACCCAGACACTACAGTAAAACCATTGGGGATACTTTTGTTATAGAAGCACCCTCATTTGTGTTTGAACTTTAAATCAAAATGGTGGTGTTGATGAGGGTGATGCAGGCCAGGTTTATCGGTAGAGGAGAGCCGATCTGAGTTTTTCATCTGGCACTCTACACAGGCTAAATCTCAAACTCTCAAAGTATTTGAACGAAAACAAACACTATATTAGCCCAGGTCTGTTGGCAAGGAATTCTCCATTAAGTACTGACTATTCAGAGGACTGGGAAGTGTCCTCTCCGAGATTAGTAACCTGAAGATGGTCACTGTCCATACGTAAATTGATGTACCTTTGTTGTGAGCCTCAAGCTGTGAGAGGGAGTTGACGGCTACTTTGCAGAGTGAGCAGTAGAGGAGCTTCTTGGCTTTGTCCTCCTCTGTCTCTGGGCCGGCTGGGGCCCCGGGAGCCACAGGGGCCACTGGACCACCACTCTGGTCTGGGTTGGTGGTGCCGAAAGCCAGGGGAGAGTCAGAGGATTGGGGGAGCAGAGGAGGAGGGGTGAGGGTGGGGGCGGTCAGCATGGGACACACAGAGGGGGGAGAGATGGAGAGGGGAGGCAGGGGCCCAGGCGGGGCCAGGAGAGGTCCCCCATTAAACTGTGGTGGTAGAGGGCGTGGTTCGTCTATAAAGAGGAAACACAAGGGGAAATCATTGTCAAATAAAATGCAGTGTTGACAAAACAAAAAAGACTAAAAGCATGTAACTGAAACGATAACATGTTTACAATAGACTTCGACGATGCCGTTCAAGTGTCTATGCGGTGAAGCAAAGTCAAATCCAAATGTTTCCTTTTAAGCCAGAGGCCCCCTTCAACTACAACCCACTGGCTGGTTCAAAGAGCACACAAACCCCATTTTATCTCACTAAAGTAAAGGACTCCAAAAGAAAAACACTGGTCTGCTATAGGGAAGTATTTTAGTATTCAGTATGACCTTGTAATTGTGAACGGTTCCTTCCTTTTAATCTTTACTACAGCAATAACCCATAGGGAGGATTTGACGAAGCAGGCTGGGATCCAGGGACAGAACCAGTGATGTATATATACCAGTACATAAACACATGGCATATACAGTATATAGTGAATATATGAATGTCTGGGGACAGAACTGTAACAGAAACAGAAATGTTTGGTCTTCTGAAGTGTTAGACATTTCCTCTCAGTGATGTGGATTTGTCCCAAATGGCACCCTATTCACTTTATAGTGCACTACTTTTGGCCAGGGCCCATAGGGCACTCACCCCTGGTCTCATCTTATTAAAATGTTTCAGAGAAAAGAAGAGGAGAGAGAAATGAGAAACAGATACTCCCCTGGCAGTGGATGGATGTTTTTTCACCTGTTATTTTTGGCTGAGAATGAGATGGTGCAGGGGGAAAAAGTGGCACAAGTTTGTTTTGAAAAGGGGTGCCACGGAAAACATTGCAAACACAAAACACAAAACACACACACTCATGCTAGTGCACACATTATTCCTCCCACACACATACACACACTTAATCTCTCTCTCTCTCCCACACACGTACAGCTAGCACACACATGTTTCTGGTCAGCCACTCCCATGCTGCAATGCCTTTGCTATTCACCCGACAATGCACTTGGTGGTGTTCCATAAAGCCATAACATTTGGGTGGGTGGGGAGCATTTCAGAATTCTGCTCTCCGCCCCACAGGCCCTCCTCAGTTGGGGCACCAAACCCTACCCTCCCTCTTTCACCGCCACCACCACTGCCACCACCACCACCACCACCACTGCCACCACAGGACACACACACACAACCACCGACCACAGGACGTGGCTGCAGGCAGCAGGTGGGGGGGGGGAGTCGGTCGGGACAGAAAGCCCTGCGGGATTAGGGGTCTTAAAGGGGCTAGAGTGGACTATTTTTGGGAAGTACACAAATATTGACTATAACTGCTCAATTTCCTTTTTAGGATTACTCATCCTCCTCCTCAACAAGCTCTCACGGTCTCACTGCAGAATTAGACGTTTATCCACGGTTCTCCAAACGTCAAATTTTGAAGTTGCTCCAAACGTCACATTTCTAAGTGTTTTTGACACCAAGGGTTGCTCCTGCTGCTCTGTATCATTCCATTTCTCCAAACCTCAAATGTTGAAGCTAAGGGTTAAGTTTAGCGTTATCCTGAATGGTTAAGGTAAAGGTTACGGTTTGGGATAGTGTTAAAACCAAAAATCTGGGATCGAACACACCTCCTTCTGATCCAAAGTCATAGGATTACATCCATCCACCATTCCCGTCCACAACGCCCTAGTAAAACCCAAGCCTACCTGATGGTAACAGCGCTCACTGTTGCCCCTAGTGGCCATTTTAAACACATTTCCCAACGTTGGCAGGATATGGATAGACGTCCAATTTCAAAGTCAATCTTGAGCAAAAAGTGTGGCTGCATCAAAGAGCAGGTTGACGGGTGAGTGGTGTGTGGGGCGATGGGTGAGTGGTGTTTAAGGCCAGGAGGGGCGATTTCATAAAAAATTAAAATGTATTGTCACATAAACCTGATAGATGCAGTGAAATGTTTTGTTTTACAGGGTCAGCCATAGTAGTACGACGCCCCTAGAGCAAATTAGGGTTAAGTGCCTTGCTCAAGGGCACCTCGACAGATTTTTCACCTTGTTTGCTCGGGTATTCAAACTAGCGACCTTTGGGTTACTGGCCCAACGCTCTAACCACTAGCAACATCAGAGCAGAGGAAGAAGAGAGGGCGTGATTGTAAAGCTCTAGCGTTGTTCTTGAAAATGACACCACATAGCACACACACACACACACACACACACACACACACACCATCACAGTATGTCAGCACGCCGATGGAAGAGTGCTGGCGTCAGACCATGTCTCGTGGAATAGCATTGAAGTTGAACCCATAGCGTCCTGCATGTGGTTTATGTTAGGCTAAAGAGAGAAGGAGGGAGGAAAGGGAGGAGGAGGTGAGAGCGATTGTAATAGGGGATTTCATGATCCTCTATGGGTTGGAGTCGAGCTATGCTGTTAAGAGCCTTCATTTCAATGCATCATTTCAGTACGCTTCCTGCTTATTCACCACAGTCACTCCTATGGTTGGTTTCCCCCTAAAACTGAGTTCAACCTGGTCTCAGCAGTCGGTATGTTTTAGAATACATTCCCATTGATTTATGCATCCTAAATGTACATATTGCAATGGATTTCACTAGTGCTTTTAACATGAATGTTTTTATTGTTTATGCATTGTAATACCCATGCATTTGTGTTTTTGAGGGTATTATACAGAATTTTTACTTGATTCCCAGCTCTAGAAAACAGGAAATCCTATGGTTTCCCCCTAAAACTCAACTCAGCTTTTCATGTTTCAAACAAGTTTCAGGAGACATATCCCATTGATTCCCAGCCTCCAGAATACAGAATCGGATCCCAAATTGATCAGGCTGTTCCAATTCCAGCCAAGTTAAAAGATGGATAACTCCAATTTTAAAGGTCAATGGAGAAAAATAACACACGTGCACATGAGCACACATGCACCCACCCACACACACACACACACACACAAACACACACACACCGACTGCAAACTACAACCTGTTCTTCTTAGTACTGTATATATTGATGTTGTTGTTCAACATGCTGATTAAAGTGTGAGGATGTGGTGAGCTAGACAGCTGAGACCAGGGGTGAAGGTTCATCAGATAGGCATTCATTCTCCTCTGGTGCGTTAGAAGATACCAGGCGTGTACCATCAATCCAGCCTGTATACCTGCCTTATTTAAAGGTCATTACAATTCAATGCGGAGGGAGAACCAAAGAGATATGTTTTAAATTACATAGTAAAAGTTGCTCAAAGGGGAACACTGCCTCATCCAAAAATGCTTTTAAAAACCATGTGCTAAACTAGCGCCATTGTCCTGGAAGGATAAGACAAATTTAATAATACATTCAGTACATATGAGCCAAACCACTGTACTGTTCAGTCAGAAATGTTAGTTACAAACTCAGAGAAAGTAGTTAATCAAATAAAACATTTGATATCTCTCTGGTAGCTACAGTACACTGGTAGTTTGAACACATGAGCAGAGTGCTGGCTAGTTGTGGTACTGCCAGTAACCAGGTGGGTTTGCTGGGAAAAGGTGTACCACCTTTGTGTGGTCAGGTGTTATGTTCACAGGAGGAGATAAGGGGCCTGTGCCCCTCCAGCCCTCTCCTCCCTGGCTGTGTTGAGTTACAGGAGTCCATGCCCAGAGTCCATCCCCCGACAAATTGAGGCTGCTGTGAAGGCAAAAGGGAGTGGGGGGGGGGGGACGGGGGGGGGGGACGATTCTTGATAAACACACAAACTGTTGAAGGTGTTCCCTAATGCTTGGTATACTCAGTGTATATCATTAATTTACAAGTCCAAAAATGGATTTAGCAACTAAGGATTCTAGCGTTAATGATTAATGACCGTAGAAACCCAACACTGTTCTAACGAGCACTCAGCATCATTTATAATGCAGCAGTGTGCCTTCTCCTCTACTCTACATCAGTTTATGATATTGCAATGATTGGTAGCAACAGTTGGAGTCGGAGGTTTACATACACTTAGGTTGGAGTCATTAAAACTCGTTTTTCAACCACTCCACACATTTCTTGTTAACAAACTACAGTTTTGGCAAGTTGGTTAGGACATCTACTTTGTGCATGACACAAGTAATTTTTCCAACAATTGTTTACAGACAGATTATTTCACTTATAATTCACTGTATCACAATTCCAGTGGGTCAGAAGTTGACATACACTAAGTTGAGACTGTGCCTTTAAACAGCTTGGAAAATTCCAGAAAACGATGTCATGGCTTTAGAAGCTTCTGATAGGCTAATTGACATAATTTGAGTCAATTGGAGGTGTACCTGTGGATGTATTTCAAGGCCTAACTTCAAACTCAGTGCCTCTTTACTTGACATCATGGGAAAATCAAAAGAAATCAACCAAGACCTCAGAAAAATAAATTGTAGACCTCCACAAGTCTGGTTCATCCTTGGAAGCAATTTCCAAATGCCTGAAGGTACCACGTTCATCTGTACAAACAATAGTACATAAGTATAAATACCATGGGACCACGCAGCCGTCATACCGCTCAGGAAGGAGACGCATTCTGTCTCCTATAGATGAACGTACTTTGGTGCGTAAAGTGCAAATCAATCCCAGAACAACAGCAAAGGACCTTGTGAAGATGCTGGAGGAAACAGGTTCAAAAGTATCTATATCCACAGTAAAACGAGTCCTATATCGACATAACCTGAAAGGCCGCTCAGCAAGGAAGAAGCCACTGCTCCATAAAAAAGCCAGACTACGGTTTGCAACTGCACACGGGTTTCAAGATCGTACTTTTTAGAGAAATGTCCACTGGTCTGATGAAACAAAAATAGAACTGTTTGGCCGTTTGGAGGAAAAAGGGGTACGCTTGCAAGCTGAAGAACACCATCCCAACCGTGAAGCACGGGGGTGGCAGCATCATGCTGTGGGGGTGCGTTGCTGCAGAAGGGATTGGTGCACTTCACAAAATAGATGGCATCATGAGGAAGGAAAATTATGTGGATATATTGAAGCAACATCTCAAGACATCAGTCAGGAAGTTAAAGCTTGGTCTCAAATG